ATCGATTAGAGAATAATTAATTGAGTCATTTATTTGAACAACATGATTTTTCGGACATTAAATTATCCATTTTTCTCTATTGAAAGAACTAAATTTTGAACTAAAATGATATTGGGTAAATTTTATTATGAACTTATTTCGAAAAGAAAGACTCAAGTACGAATCAATTTTAACTAAAATTAATTTTGTAATTAAAACCAAAATGTAAATTCCATTTCACCAATATGCCCAACGGATTTGCATATATTATATTCAATGATAAATGTCCGTGACGATTACTTCCGTTGTTTAAATTGACGATTTAATTAATGATTGATTTTACTAAATTTATGTTAAAATATAAAATAATTAACTTCATTAATTAAAATAATATAAATTCATATAACATATTTTTTTTAAAAAAATCATTTTTTTTTGTCTTTTATGTCTGCCATCGTTTATTAAACACAAAACAAATACTTTGGAATTTCTAACATCTCTACCAACAAACATATCTTTCTGGCATTTCGCATTTGAAGATTGTCTCTCAGTGAAAGAAAATGTTCATAATTCTAATTATGCAAGGAAAAAGAAGGAAAAAGTTTGTGGAGATACAAGTTTAAATAATGTTTCACTTAAAAGTTTAGATAATGATTCATTCTTCACTTATCTATTAAATTAAATTTCTTATATTGCTAGCTTTATGTCTTTGTAATTAATAATTTCAAATATTAAAATATTGTTAGCTTTATGTCTTTGTAATTAATAATTTCAAATATTAAAATATTGTTTGTTTCTTCAATAAAGAGAATTATGTTAAATTAATAACAATGTTGCAAAAGGTTTTTGAGAACTCAAAAAGAGAAAACTCAATGAAGTTTCAAATTTATATTTCAATTGTTTTTTTTTAGAAATTTTAGATATTTAACACTTTATTACTTGATAGTTGATATACAACATTGTTTACTTTTTTTATTTTCGTTTGTTGCTTTCTATATTAATTTAAGTTTTTTTACATTTAATTATATTTTAATTTTTAACAACATTAAAATGAAAGCCAAATGATTCAAAAGAAAGAAAAACGTACAACAACGTTAAAATTATTTTATTATTTAATTATTTTTAAATTTTTATATGTATCAAATAAATTATAATATTAATGGATATTCTTGTTCTATAAATAAAGTAAAATTAATGATTATTAATGTCAGAATTCATTTAATATCACAATTCATTATAAATTTTTGTAAAGTTTAATATTTATTAGTTATTCTTAATTAGTATAAGGACTAGTATTATTTTGTTGGATTATAAAACTCTGCCCGAAAAACTAAAATAGTCATTTAAGTATGTGGATTAGTCCAAAAACAGATAAAGAAGAAAAAAATATAAATGAATTAAACTAGGAAAGTTATTAAGTTTTCCTATTTGATTAAGTTGCTTGATATCATAAGTTCAAATATTTACTAATGTGAATATTGTTGTTTTGGCATAATAAGAAAGTAAGATTGACACCTACATATTGATAAAGTTTTGAGAAAATGAAAAGGAGAATACCCTAAGAAAAAGACTTTTTGTTATTACCTTTGGAGAAGGTATACGTATAGAAAGCGAAGGTAGGGATATCTCGCTACACATTTAAAGAATATATATATGGTAATATTTAAAACCACAAGTCTCTGTCTCGTCGTCATCAACCAATTCTTATTATTTATTGCACTTTCCAATTAATTATTATTATGGGTCCCTGTGATCAATAATTCCCCATATAGCTTTGTTTATTACTTTATTTAATTAGAGAATGATTTTATGATCCCCAAGAACTTAATTAAATATTCTTCTGCTCCATCAACATGTATTTACTATCCTCGTGATATCTCTTCAATTAATGTACAACATGGTCTCTTTCTTTCCACCTTCATTTTTTCTCCTTTCTTTCTCCTCGATGCTTAATAATTCTTTATCTTTCCTCTTATTTGTTCCATCTTACATGAAGATTTTCAAGGGTTATCAACTAAATTTAGTATCTGAAAGTTGGTCCAAATCTTGATATAGTCTTCTAATTGGTGAGACGAATTCTTGGTCGAATCCATCTTCTGTTGGCATATTCTTTAGGGTTTCGTTTTCAAACTTTCAACCTGTCTCGTTCTTTTCAGGGCAGTTGAGCGTTTCAATTATTTTTTTTCTAGGGTTTTGTTATTTAGTAAAGTTGTTATATATTTTCACATAATTAAGGTGTTGATTATCTTATTTCAGATTTTAATTGAGGTACAGAATTAGAGTAATATTAGGATGACATATTTTTATATTAATTTGATATACAATATAATGTAAAATAATCATAAACAAATGAATTTTTATATTTTTTTCAAAAAAATAAATTAAATAAATATAAAAAATTTATGCATGTTGAAATATCTTTTTCGTAGGGTATGCTCATGTAGAACGATGTCCATATATGTTGGGGGATGTGGCTGTGATGGTCCTGGTTGCAAAGGCAAGTGGCTCCCAATCCCATGTTTGTCATCATTGACTTAAAAAAGAGAACAAGTAAAAGTGTGGAAGAAACAGTCGTCCCCACTGATTAGGTCAAAACCAAAAACCCTAAGAATCCTTTTCTGGTTTGAATCTAATTCAAGGATTTAGCTTATATACCAATTACAAATTTTTAATCTCTATTGAAAAATTATCAACCTTTTAGTATCAATTCTGATTCTAATAAGATTATTTTTTACAGAGGATTTAGCTTATACCGATTACAGTAATATTTTATAAGTGTGATATTTTTAACACCAAAACTACAAAAAAAATTATTAAATAATAACAAATTTTAAAAATAAAATATAATTAGTTATTATATTCATTAAGTTAGATATCATTTTATAGATTAAAAGTTATTAATGTATACATTATAGTCTCAATTTTAATAGTTAATATTAAAGATAAATTTATATTTTAAATCATAAATCAATTATAATTTTTTATTTATAATAAAAAGAATTTTAAATATTAATAATTTTTAATTCATAAAATAAGTTATAGCTTACTCAATAATATAATGGTTAATATTTTTTCTAACTATTTAAGGATTTTTTTAAATATAACTTTTTTAAAATTGAGAAAAATTTGTGTGCAATTTGAAAAGAAAAAAAAAATCGAGATCTGAGTGTATTTTTAGAAAACCTAATAAAGTGTAAATGTAGTTTACTTTTCAAACAAGGTTGAGTATGTGAGAATGACTTAGTCAGCCAGGGACTTAAAACATGTCGCCATGGTAGTTCACCGGCGTAATTGAAGGCTTCTGGTTGCCATTAAATATAACTACCCATCTCTATAGGTCAATCTTCATTTCCTCTTCCACAATTCCATTTTCTATCACACTCTCACTCTCCCTTTAATTACTTTTTTCCTCTAATTTTTATAAAAAATCTAATTTAATTTTTAATTTTAATTATCTAATTTTTTAAAATAATTTAATTAAAATTTTTCATTAGATTATTAATTTTAAAATTTTAAATTAATTTTATATTTTAGAGGGACTAATTTATATATAAACTTTAATGTTAAATAATAACAAAAAAAACTAATTAAATTATTTTTAAAAAAATTAAATAAAACAAAATAAAAATTAAAAATCTGATTACATTTTTTTTTTTATAAAGATTAGACCGTTAAAAGGAATTTTAGTCTTACTTTTTTCAACTTTTCTTTTTTCCTTTTGGAGCCAACAACATTAATAATTTAGTTCTCTCAATATTCCAGTCAATCTGATTAAGACCTAATGAAAGTTACAAATAGTTATTAATTACAACTACTTCAGGAGAAACAATTTCAACACCCTTGTTCTGTTTAATATGGACAAAATAAAAGAGCTTAGATATCCAGTGAACTTATAGCAGTGTGACATAACTCCTCTTAAATAATCATGTTTTCTTAATTTCGTATCTAAATTTTAATTGAATAATGTTTTATTGAAAATTATTATTTAATACTATAATTTGAACTTGTTTTTACCTTTTAACACCACTGTATAAGTACGGATGATAGTACCACGAATGGAAAGAAACTTCTTATTCTTAAAAAAAAAACTTTGTAATAAATATATGTGTATATTAATTGTTATGATATTTAATGTTATATACATGTATACACTTCTTTTAATGCTATTATCATTGTTGAAATAGGTAGTAGATTATCGAATTTAATTTTTCTTTCTTGTGTCTTCAAATTGGCAGGTTGATGTGTATCTCTTCTTTAAAAAAAGAAAAAAAAAATCAATTTAGAAATAAATTTGGTTTCCCTACAATAAATGAACTTGTGTGTATGAAAAAAGTGCAACTATTATATATGGGTACTTGGGCTAATTTTCGCATAAACCTAATGTTTGATATAATATGCGATGAATTATTCTTATTCAAACTTTTTTTCTTTATTTGTGAACAAAGTATAAATTAACTCCACGGTTAAGTAAAAGTTAACCCATCCAAAATTAGAGATTATTTATAACAGTTTCAAAATTACAAACACTAAAATGAACAAAACTTTTGAACAGGAACTAAACCAAAAATCGTGTGATAGTTAAGGGATTAAAAACATATTTAATCCTAAAAACAAATACATTTAGAAAATGTTACTATAAAATTAATAAAATAATAATTTTAATTAAAAATAATAAATCCTTATTAAAGTATAAAATTAAAAAATGAAGTAAATATGTTTTATATAATAATATATAATTAAGATTATCTTTTCTAATTTTATTTTTTAAATATATTTTTCTTTAATTAAAATAATTATTCTATTAATATTAGATAACAGTTTTTTTTTATTTAACCATTTTCTTATTTGATCTTTTCACAAAATTTGATATTTTTTTTAGTTATAAAATTATCTACAAAATAAATGAAAATTATTTATAATAAAATTATAAAATTTATTTATTTATAATAAAATTGTTTAAAATAATTGAACAACCACAAAAGCCCAACAAAGTAAAGCCCAATCCAGTCTAGAGATAAAAAATAGAAAACATTATAAACATGAGTACAGGTCAAGAAGTTTTGTTCCCAAGTTTGAAATCCTTGAAGAATGGCTACTATAGATTCTGACGTGACCATGGTTCCGGCTGGCGAACCCTCCAGCAGCACAGGTCCTTCTTCATCCAGCAAGAAGCCGAAGCGATTCGAGATCAAGAAGTGGAATGCCGTTTCTCTATGGGCATGGGGTGAGTCTCTTTCAACCCTCTTCTAAACCCTAGCTTTAATTTCATTCTTCTCATTTTTTTTCTTCTGTTTCCATTCTGTTGTTGCAGATATCGTTGTGGACAATTGTGCTATCTGCAGGAACCATATCATGGATCTCTGTAAGCGTGTTAATTCAACTTATCTTTGTGATTTTTTTTTATGAGAAATAGCCTAATTCTTTTTTATTTTGGATGCTTGTTTAGGTATTGAGTGTCAGGCCAACCAGGCTAGCGCTACTAGTGAGGAATGCACTGTAGCTTGGGGTACCTCTTAATCCTATACATTTATAAGTTAAATATGTCACTTCAGTGATTCCTATTATTCTATTCTAGCTGGTCTTTTTCCATCCAATTAATTGGGAGTTTTGTTTTGGAATCCGGTTTTTTAAATCTTTTGTTGAATTTTTACTCTATAGTTGTATTCCTATATTTGTTTAGGAAGTTATAATCTGAAATAAAAATACTTTATATGAGCGGCTGGTTATTCCTTCAGCTAGTTTTAGGTTGGAACTTATCCTTAGTATAAGAGATGAGTTGAACACTTTTCCAAGGGATCATCATCCTCATCTTCTGTGTTTATGATTTCATATATATATATATATATATATATATATATATATATATATATATGCATATATATGTATATGTATGTATGTATGTAGGTGAACCTAGTGCAAGTAGTGTTGAAATTGTGATTCCTGTATCCCACATAAAATCCAAAGCTCAGTTGTTAATTAAGCAATGAAAAACCTATAGAAACTGTTACTCTTTATCCTTTGCCAACTGCACTTGCAGTGGAGATATTAACAATGATTCCTATGTTTGTTCATTTTTTATTTGTTTGGTTCTTATTATTGAGGCTTGCATACTTGATTGATATATACTGACATCTAGACTCTAGACCATATTGAGATTGCAGGCTTGTTTAGTTCATAAGTTCACAGTTTAAACTGTGATGTATCTTGTAATGAGATAATGTTTTATTTTAAATATTCAGACCTAAAAAACTAATACTTTCATCAAAATTCACATATGACTATGGTTTAAAGTTTAATGACTCTCAACTTTATTCAGACCTATTTTTCACTGAACCACTTGCTAGATCTTTTTGTTGAAGCACACTAGGTCATGATTTATTGAAGTCTAGCTCTGTAGTCTGTTAACTGTGGCTCTAGGTAGAACCAAAATCCTTTAGCATAAGATATAACGAGTCAATGTTGGCATAATGTCTATATCTGATACTGAAATCTGTGTGACAAGCTTGCATTTGTTTTGGCACATTTGTAGGTAACAGTGTAAGAATGAAAATACAGAGGTTTTTTGTTGAACGGAAGTGTTCATTAAACCTTTCCATTAAATTCTTCCTTAACCTTAATCATCTTATTGTTGCAGTTATTAATATTATCTCCCTTCAATAACATAAAGTTCCACCCTTACATCACTACCCAACGACAAAAAAACACAAGCAAGTTCTGTTTGAACCAGCCTTAGCTCGTCAAGCTTAAATTTTAGGTTGGAGGGTGGCTGCGGTTGTCCACATCTTAAGTTACTAATGCCTGTTGAATAATTCATTATACACATTTCAAGTTTCATCTTCACTAACTCATTACCTCCCTCAAGGCATTTCCACTTTCAATCTACACCCTCACCATACCTGTTATTGTGATTTCATCCTTTCAAGGCAGGTTTTAGAGCCAGTTAGGGAGTGAGGATGTACACAGCTGGGAATAAGGGAGTGATGTTGGAAGAGAGACTGAATGCATTTCACTTGGGTCGCAAATTGTTACAGGATAATCAAATCTAGCTAATATTAAAGTTATTTATTTATGTATAAATATATTTCATTCAATATATATTGTCAGACCATTAATCTTAAAAATGTTATCACATTTGTATATTTTACATTGAATACCTGTATCCGATCCCGGCACAGAGCAGGGTCGGGAAAAAATCCATATTAAAAGTTCACTTTAGGCAGGAAGACTTAAAAGAGTGCTTAGGTAATTTCTCTAGTTATGTAAGCCTATATACTTGTTGCGCTTTGGCATGGCAAAAGCAGGATTACTGAAATTGTTACTTGTTCTGCCTGATATCTTCTACAGGAGTTTGTAACCATGCTTTTCACTTCCATTGCATAAGCAGATGGCTCAAGACCCGTCAAGTATGTCCGCTAGGTATGTGGGACAAGTTCCTTTTCCACCTTTTTCTCTGTTTGGATTGAATGGTTTAGTGATCTTCTCACTTGCATGGTGTTTCTTTGGTGCTATAGATAATAGCGAGTGGGAGTTTCAGAAATATGGTCACTAGAACTTGGATGCCGCTGAGATACTTCCAACTGGGGACATTTGATTGTATCAGTTTCTATAAAATATTTGTAGCTCTACGTTATTGTCGTTGGAGTTTTACTATCTTTCAAGAGTCCCTTCTAAATGTTTTATCATATCGTTACTCCCCAGTTCCACGGTTCATCACATCATTCAAACCAACTAAATCCGGCCGCATAACCCACGCCAAAAAAATTCAATGTTATGTCACCTAATGTACTGCCTATTTTCACGAATATGATGCACACAAAGTTCTTGTTAACACGTTCTTAACTAATATTCTAATGAATCACGTTAAGTATCATGGATTTTACTGGAGTAGAACCTTCTATTTCAGTTCGTGCTGTTTTAAATAGATACGTGCAATTATGAAAATGTGAGGCAATGTTAAAATACCTAATATCAGCATTGTTTAATATATATATACGGGTTGGATTAATGGTTGAACAGATACGTTTTATATTGTGAACAATATTATGGATGTCTATAATTGACTGATGACTAAATTGGTGTATTCATTTCTAAAATCATTATAGCAAAGATTGAATGAATTAAATGTATAATATAAAAGGAATTTTGTTTAACTATATTTTCCGAGAAAATGAGAGAAATAAGAAAAGGAAAGAAGTGTATGGATTGAGATAAAAAAATGATGTATAGAGGAAAACAATGACAGTTATTACATAAAATGTATTGTAAAAATAACTGTCATAATCAGAATGTCATAATCAGAATCCGTTACCTTTTGTCAAGGGATTTGACAAGTAGATAATAGAGTACGAAAAGGGGGTATGACTAAACTGGGTTAGTAAGAATTAGCATTTTTCATTAATATAGCAAAAACTAAACAGCTTTTCATAGAGAACCCTTACTACAGAGAACTGTAAACAAAGTTGCCAATTCAACAAGGGGAACCCATATGGTCCCGGTTTTCAATGTTTTCACACAAAATAAATTTGGACTTTTATTCTATTCGGGTGTGGAAGAACTAAATGAGATTGGAAAAACCAGCCCAAACATTTGTTGGCAGTGGCAAGCCTACGTAAAACTACCACTCATACATTGCAAATTTCAATAACAACCATAAATGTGACTGGAAAAAGGTTAAGTAGGGGCAAAACCTTCTGACCAAATATTTCACCTGCGTTTGACCATGGTTAGCTGGATTCACTGTAGTTCGAAATTTCCTTTAAAAAATAAAATCCTAGGCTATTTCGCAAATTATATTTCTTTTTTCCACAATATATATAATCAATTTGAATTAACGAATCACTCTATTTGCCATTGATCGATCAGAATAAGTCGAATTACTCTATTTGTGTTATTAAGTGAAAATTTGCAGGATAAATGACAACAATTTTGATCATAGATATAATTGAAGCGAAAATCAAATTTTAGTTAGAAAATAGTAGAGAAGAAAAGTACCTAAGATGTCGCAGCTATAAGGTTTTTTGTAGTTCACACAATGTCTTCCAAGTTAGGTTATATTAGAGGTGAGTGAGTTAGCTGGGAAAGAAGCTAAAAATTGAATGTATAGAGTGCAGTTAAGGAGAGATTGAGGCCAATTTTGTCTCCCTCAATAAATGTTTTGGGTTGAAAGAAGAGTGTGATAAGGAAAATAATGGCCTCCATTTCAGAAACCAAATCTCCTTCCAACCACAAAGGTCAACGCCATTCTCGGTCTTCAATTCCTTTCACGTTCTCTACTTCTCTCTATTATACTGCCTCATTCTGATCATTCTCTTCCCCCTTCCCTTTCTCTCTCTTTTCTAACACTACTTTTCTCTCTCATAACAAATAATAAATATAATTTCAAACTCTTTCGCATTTTCTTTTTACTCACAAAAATCATTTTTTTTCTAATAAACAAAGTAGGACCAAAAAACATTTCAGATTGACTCGTCTGAGTAAAACTAAGTGGCCGTTTATCTAATTAACAACGAACATGGACACCTTAACCAGATAAACAGTTTTCTGACATCTTTTTGTTCTTTTATATATTTCCACGGTATCATATTTGAAAACTCTTTGATGTAGACATAGAGTGGTCCTCATTGTTATATCACGTCTATTAATTCTCCATATCACATACTTAAGCAATTGTTATTAATTTTATTCAAGATATCACACCGATTATAAATAATATAAGTGAGGACAGATTTATGATCGTAAAAGATTATATAAATTTATGATTCAATAAATTTAATCCATTTTTTTCTTATGTCAGCATATAAATCTAACCTCTCTTATACATAAAAAATTAATTAAAACTATAATAGTCTCTAACTACTTAATAATTTGTGTTATGAATAAGAGATTGAAAAAAATGAAAATCGAATGTTAAAAAGTCATGACTTATGATTCCTTCCTATATTTGTTTCTCTCTGCTGGTGGTGTACACTGACATGTATCTCTATTCATAGAACATTATTCTAAGCTCAGTGTTATAAATCCCTCCAGAGAAGAAGTCTCTCACAATCTGAAAGCAAAACTCTCTCTCTCTCTCTCTCTATCTCTCTATCTCTCCTGATGGAGCATTCTCTGAATCCTTCTATGGGAAAAGCAGTGTCTGGAAGTGGCAATGAGGAAAGCGGGTGGACTTCTTACTTGGAAGATTTTTCTAAGGGCATGGAGGAACAAAGTTACTGTTCCAGCTTGGGTGGCTCCTCTTTGGTCTCAGATGCTGCTTCTTCTGCTGCATGGAAACTCTCACATCACAATCACCTTCTGTCATACCCTTCTGTTAGAGTTACGGACTCATCTAATAATATCTCTAAGAAACTTCGTTTCAAGAAAACAAGAACCCAGCAGATATCAGACGATGATCCTTTGGAAGACACTGCCAGCTCCCCTGTCAATAGTCCCAAGGTACATCATCTGCAATATCATATCATCTCTTTTTCTTTAAGTTCAATTTATACAGTATATAATTGGTGGAAATTGTTTTTTTTTTTAACATTTTTTTATCATGTAACTTTCCATCTCTTACAATAGGTAGGGGACCTGAAGATTTCCAGCAAGATTGACGATGATCAACTTGATGGTTCTACTTCTAGGGTAACCCTGCTAAATTTATGATGTTTGTGTAAGAATGGAAGAAATAGTAAATATTACTTTAAGTACTTTTCTATCCAAGATATGTAGCTTATGATGATGATGATGATTGTGTAGGGTAAGGGTTTTCACTCAGAGCGTTACCCAAACCTGCTGCAGGCTGATGAGTGTGACATGAACTTCAATGAAAACAATGTTGAGTGCACCGCAGACTTGAAGAAAAGGGGTCTATGCCTTGTTCCTTGGTCCATGTTGGTTAATTATTATGGGTGAATGCTACTTTTGTCTACTTTGTGTTCTTCTATGTAGCTTGACTTCTCAGGTCACGTTGCTGTTAACATAACATGATCAGTGACAGTAAACCCCTGTATTATACCAATCATTGTTAACATGATCATAACCTGAGACCATAGTTTATGTTTTGCTTGTTTCTTCATGAACACAGAAACCAAGATCATGTTTGTGACATTCTTCAAGGGAAGTAAGTATATATATGTTCTCAAAATTACAAGTAACAGAAAAAAAAAAAAAGGTATATAAGCTGTCTAAATTTGCATGATATTGAATTTAAAACCATAAAATAAATGTTAGTGTGACAAGTTACTACAAGGGACACACAAAAAGCACTTTTCATGATGTTGTAGGTGAAAAGGGCTTAGCGGTCCAAGTGAAACCAGCTTGGTCAAAATGTATATATAATGAATGAATGGGATAGTTAAAAGTATATTAAATATGATTAAATTTCAACTACAATGTATTTTTAGTTATTTTCATCAAGGTTCTTTAAATTAAAACTAGATTAAATTTTAATTATGTATTGTGTTTATTAACAAGCTAAATTGCAAAATCAAAGATTTACTGTTAATTAATTGAATGAGAGGATACATGATTGTGGCTGGCCAAATTTCAAATGGTTTGAAAAGAAAGTATGATAGGTGATAAATGAAAACCAGAAAAGAGCCCTTTGTGTAGAACATTGAAAAATAAAGATTCGTGCGTAGCAGTACTGCATTTAATATTAAACATTAAATAATAGTGTGACTCAATTGATATATTGATATATCTATGCTTTTGATTTTAAATAGATTATGTATGAGACATTATGTATTAGTGGACAATAGTTTACAAAGTATAGTACTGCAAAACATCAAAGAAAAAACGGTCATGTCACAATGCATTGATCTAAATCTTTTCATATACTGATAATAAAGTTAACTTTCAAAAGTATATCTCATTATCTTAAATGAAGCGTGTAGAAGAAACCTAATCATTTAGGCAAAAACACCAATTCAGCACTTTTATTTAAAATTATTTATCTGACTATTTTTTTAATTACTTTAATAACTAAGACATGTTTGGGACAATTTAATAAATAAAAGAATTGTGATTTTAAAATTTTCCTTTTTATGGCAAAGTCGTAGAAAAAGTCTATTTTTTTATATTTATTTAATAGTCTTAGAAATATGATTTTACTTTTTTTTTCTAATAATTAAAGTAAAAATTTATGCTTATAAATATAATTAGAGTGAAAGTAGTAGTATGTTGTCTGTTAAAAAAAGAGGTTAGTTTATGCAATTATATGCTTTCAAATATTTTTAAAGTGAAAATGTGACACTAAAATTATTAAAAAAAAAAAAGTGAGATATGCGCCAGTTAAAAGAATAGTTTCTACAGCCAAAACCCTTCACAAGTATTTTCTTTAATTAACAATAATTACACTCACTTTTACATTCTTAATTCTAAATAATCATGGGCAGTCAAAACGTGAAAGGACAATTTTGTTAAGATATGCCAAATATTCTATTAAAGGATATTAGGCAATCAAATATTATGTTAGTTATAATTTAGATATTATTATAATTTGTGCAGATTTGTGCACTTGTCATTCCTTTAATAGATGAAAGATTATAGGATCCTTAAATGTATATATATGGTACTTTACTCTTTGAAATAATATATCAGAATTATTCTTTAAACCTTTTATTATGGTATCAGAGCCAACACTGATATCCTCTAAGACATAGGAATCAGTGCCTTTTTTCATTGAATATTTCTGATCTTCTTCCGATGACAATCAATCGGAGAACATGATTCTGGAACTTCTCCCTGCTTCCAAGAGTTATCTTTCCTCTGCTCCTCGGATTTGTGACCAGTCAGGTGTATCTACCTGACCTTAATCTTTCTTGTTGTTACTAGATAGTACTGGATAATTTATTCGGGTGCTACTGATCATATACTTGTGATCCTCATATATTCACTTAATTTTTTTCCTCTAATTGTTCTAAAACTTCCTGTTATATAATCCAATGGGGTCCGCAGCTCCTATTGAGGATAGTTACTATAGCCCTCTCACCCCCTTAATCGATT